GGGGATAACTGTGTCTAAACCTATTTCTTTGTTTTGTGATAATAAGGCAGCAATACAAATAGCTAGGAATCCAATATTTCATGAGAGAACAAAGCATATCGAGATAGACTGTCATTTTATGAGAGATCATGACAGGGCTCATACATCCATGTTATGTTTCTTCTTCATTGCAGTTAGCAGACCTTCTAACAAAAGGATTGATTACTGCACAACATAATTTCTTAGTATCAAAGGTTGGTGTGTTAGACATCTTCCACCCTTCAGCTTGAGGGGGAGTATTGAGGAGTAGAAGATCTCTGGTGAAGAACTGGATCTAAGGAACCCAAGACCAAATTTCAGCTTTGATCCAAAGGTATAACAAAGTCCCATGTTGTCTTCTAATCTAGTTCATTCACGTGTTTAGGCCATCTCCAACCCTTGCCTCCATTTTCTCCTCCAAAATGGAATAAAGTTACTCCAACCATTAATCCATTTTTCACTCCAAAAAGAATATTCTGTTTTATATTCTTCTCTCTCTTCAATATTATCTTTTATTTAAATTTTATTTTCTTATTTCTATTAAAGAAATTCTATCTTTTTTTTTACATATTCATCACATATAATTTATATTCCTTTCTTATATAACCATTTAATATAAAATTATTTTATACCATAAATTTTTAATAATATAATTTGTAAGCAAATATTATAGATTATATATATTAACGGATAATTCTATAAAGTAAAATCATTGAGATACAAGATAAGTAATACCTATTATATTATGGTAAAATTTAGATTAAATACAACATAAATATTCAATTTTCACCTTTAGTATGCTCCCATAAATGATCTATTAATGCATTATGAAGTGCAAAATGAGCACCTTTGTCCTTAATTCATTTGTGCCGAGCTAAAAATTATTCAAATCGGTTATTTTCATCTACTACCATTTCTACTATTGGAGGTGGACATTCCCAATCATCTTGAATTGGTGCATTAAGATCATGCTCATTCTCGATCCGACTCGTCGTGAATTTTGCGACAAGAACAACAACGAATAATGTATAAAAGAAGTCAACAATTTTCACAGTCACAGCCACAACAATCCTCGGCCCCATTCACTTAATACTATAATAATTTTTGTGTATCTGGAAACGACATAGGTCCCTACTAAATTATTGTGCTATTTACTATAGTTTCAATTTTTATGTATTTTAATTTAATGTATTTTCAACTTTCACTTTTCAATTTTAGCAATATCTAATATTTTATATCCGCACCTTTTAATTTTAGCAACATTTAATATTTTATATTTACACCATTCATTTTTTAGATGATTATATTTTTTATACAATTATAACTTACAATTTTACATAAAAATAATAAATGCACGAAAATTAATTTATCAAAAGTATACGTCACGGTTAAGATGTAAAAATTAATATTATAAAGAGAATACATAAACATCATTAGGTATATATAAAGAGATAAATTTAAAAAGGTTAAATAATAAAAATAATAATAAAGTAATAGGCAATAGTCCCCTATTTTGCAGCCAAAAATGCAGCAGCATTTGAGCTAATTTTCTTCAAAAACTGACTATATTATGGCGAAATGCAGCAGCGTTGGGATGTCCTTAGAGATAACATGGCACGGCATAGTACTAAACTGTTCCTATTGATATATGTGCGCGCGTACCATCGTTAAGTGATTTTGTCAAAGCATAAAGGTTGAAGTCAAGGAACAAACTGAACTATACTAAGATGAATATTTATTCCTCTCATTGAATGAAGAGGAATAACAATCAAGGCAAGATGGCCTGAGAAACTGTTATAAGCAATTTAATTAAGTAACATTTGAATCTGAAAGAATGAGTTAGCCCTACTCTTAATTATAGACAATGCTATGTACTTGATTTTGTCCATGCATTACACTATGAATAGTTAGAGTTTTAGAAAAGCTTGCTTCCGAACTCAATTCCTTCTCCCTTAGATGAAGAAGCAGCAGCAATATCTCTTAGGTCAGATAAGCTTCTGCCTAACTTCAAAGCCATCTTCATTTCAAACACTTCACCATTTTCTCTTCTCTCCATGTCCGTTTCTGTCAAGTTAGACTCAATAGATTCTTGCATATACCTAAAGAAACCAGCGTTACCTCGATACATTTCGAATACCATTCCAACTTGTCCACCATGCTCTACTGTGTTAACTACACTTGCCAAAGCGCCACCAACAATTCCAAGCATAGCAGCCCAAGATCCATGAGAAGGAGAAGAATCTGCAAATGCAGAGCCAACCGCTGCTAAGCCTGTGAGTAAAGGACCAGAGATGGCTAAAAACTTGTTCAATTTCAAGGCCTTCTCCCCCAGACTAATATATTCTTCTTGGTCTTTTCTGCCTAATACTCCCATTATTTCTTTCATTTCCTCCTCCAATTTCCCGTTCCAGCCATTATATTTGTCGCTGTCACTGACCCTTTTAGGCTGTCTACGACGTTGTTGAGGCCACCAAATAGCAGGTTCAACAGAAGATGGAAATTTGTCTAGCATTACGCCAAGAAGAGGGAGTGGGTAGGCCTTGTCAAGAGCCAATACTCTGTCCATAGCCTCTTTCACATCAACAGCTGAAGGATAACCAATTGATAAAGTTGTTTCAATTTGGTTGTAGAGATCTTGAAACAGCCTAGTCGCGTTTCTTTGTTCTTCAGCTAGCTGGGATGGTTGGATCTTGTTGATGATCACCAACATGCCAGTAGCAGCCAAATACAACAAAGTGGAAGACATTTTTAGTCCCAAAACAGAATCACCACTAGTAGCTGCAATTCCAACCATTGTAGCAGCAGCTAGAATTATGCCATTAATGGATGTCAAAAGCATATTGTTCCACTGGCTTCTCTGTTCCCCAATATTCCTATGCATCTCAACTCTATCTGCAACTGCCTCCTTGATTGCATAAAGCTTCTTGATAACCAGCGGATCAGGATCAATTCTTGATGGGCTAACTTGTTTCTCAATTGGGTTGTTGGTGCTTATGGTTGAAAATCCACTAATCAACTCTTGTTCCTGCACTAATCTCGCTCTTCTTTGAAACCTGGGAAGGGAGATTTTAATTGTCTGATTATTTGGAATATTAATATTTGCTCTAATTAATCCTCTTCTGCAACTACAAGATGATGTTGAGGGAACGGAAGAACTGCAAGAACTCAAGAAACTTGAAGATTGGAGGATTAATGCCATTTTTTTTGTTCTTCAATGGGATGTTAAATGGTGATTTATGATTGGAAAAAAAGAGAAGAAAACCTGCTAATTGATTGTAATTATGGTAAATAAAGAAGACATTGGACATATATATAGAGAGAGAGAATTGACAATGGATGTAAGATTTGACTGGAAAAAGACTTGAAATAATAGCAAGTTATTCAAAGTTTGAATTGAATGGGTACATGGCCAAGACAATTTCTTACTTTGCCTTATGGCCAAGACTAATTCTTATTTTGGCTTAGCCCTTGCCTGATTGCACGTACTCTTATTGACTTTTTTTTTTTTCTTGTCGTCTACTTGTATTGACTTTCAATATAAGGAAAATTTTTATGGGGTTTGATTGTTTGATATTTGAAACAGCCAAAACTATACTAACGAACTCAAATCCTGTGTTTCAATTATACATTTCATGTATGATACTACTTGCTTAAATTACATTCTTTCAATTATTGAATTTAATTAAGAGTTAACCACATTTCTTGAAAGTAAAATGATTGTTTTGTATAAATCTATAAGTGGATTTGCTTCATTAACCAGTCTATTACAAGCAAGAAATAATGAAAAAATGTACGATTATTTTTTTGTTTATATTTTCAATTGTTATAGCATTATAATAAAACACGGACATTAGACACCGGTTCTCGGAAAACAAGATCCAAACTGTTATAAAAAAACATATCTAGTTTTATTTTTCTTTTTCTTTTTCTCTTTTTTTAGTTTGCATGATCGAATTATTAGCTCGACCTGCGTCGCAAAGTGATGAGAAGAATTTTACGGGATACCAAAATAAAGTTTTGTAATAAATTCGAAAGAAACTAGATTTGAGTGCGTGATTATTTACACAATTAACACCAATTAGCCGTACTGAATTAGGGTTAGGACCGAAAAAGCAGGTGTTATGCGGAAGCTAGCAAAACAAACCTTGAACGACGATAAATCATACAACAAAGAGAAATCTACCAAAAGAGACACAAACATTTAACGTGGTTCGGTCAACTGACCTACGTCCACGACGGAGATGAGCAATCCACTATAATAAAAAAAGAGTACAAAATATCGAGAGAACAACCTCACGAAGAGGCAAACACAAGTGACACACTAACACTTGTCCCATAAAGTTCTCCCCCTAAACACGACTCTCAAGCCCCCTATGGCTACATTGTGGATGCTACTGAATGTGAAGGAAGGATCCTCAATTTATAGAAGTCCAAACCTTTTCCTACAAGAAAAAGGACTAGCCAAATATTGGAGATTTATAATTTCTTTTTACAAAAAGGAAAACCCAGTTAAGGTAATTATATTGTCATTTTCCTTCAAGAGATAGGAAAACCAAATATGGTAAGAAAATTATGGCAAACACCTAACAATTAGTTTTATGAATAATCAATTGCAGTCTACATTTATCGGCCAGAAATAATAGCATTTGGAAGGCGTATTAAATTATAATTCTCTACGTTGTTTCTAAGATAAATCATTTTAAAAATCACGTGGATTGTCAATTCCCCGAGATTTTTGGAATTTTATGATATTGTAGTTGTTAAAGTTCATACAATTCTAAAATACTCCTGCTTTAGAAAACAACAAGGAGTATATGATGACATATTTTTCAACTCAGGAGATGGACTTTATTTATTATTTCAAAGGTGAGAAAAGTTTCAAATTAAGATTAATGCCTTTTACGTTCATAGATTATCAGCGAGCCAGCCACTGTTGAAATTCAAAGATGAGAACGATATATTTAGGAGGGGAAAAAAAGTAGTAATACACTTTTGCCACAATCTGACAACTTTTCACATTGCCATGTGAGAAACATTTTGAGTATGCACGTGCTCTATCACAAGCATGCCATTTTATTTAATGAAGATATCTTGCTTTTAAGAAGAATAGAAAAGAAAAGAAAAAAGTAAAGATCAGCACAAAATAAGCACCCCAAGCAACGATTATCTTTGAACTATACAAGGAAATGTTGCCATGTTCATATATCAACTTTTGAGGATTTCAAGCTTTTTTTAAAACCATCGACCTTGCACGTAGATTCAAAAATATTCCCCTGAAAATTGATAAAAAAACAGAGAGCATTGTGAATGAAATCATAAAGATCGGAACATATTTGACAGTAGCATAAACAGCAACAAGCAGGGAAATGGTGCATACCAGCAACATGCGATAATACTGTGAAAGATCACTCTGAATTGCAGTGGAACATACTGGTGATTTACCCACCCAACCACTGGCCAAAACTGCACATTTATAAAGAATATCTACAGTCATCACTCATCATTCACTAAAGAACAGACTAGAAAAACAAATTGGACTTGCGAGAGGGCGAATTTGACAAACCGTCCAAGCTGTATACTGCACTTTTGGATATTCCCTCTTGATATTTGATTTCACCTGGATCCAGGGTCTTCCTGTGCATAATACAAGATAATGTTCAGCCAAAACCGTTATTCCGTGTGTGCATAATCATACCTGTAACTAATGGAAGGTCAGGAAACTAAATGAGCCAGACTGTTATAAGATCCATTTCCGCAGATCTTTCAAAATTATGCAACATATGGCTCCACGAAGGAGAAGAAAATGTAAGGAAACAAGAAACTCATGGCTTACTTTCCTTTAATGGAACATTCATCACCTGTTTTCGATTGTTTCTAGGATAGGATGGAAGGTAAAAAGATATATTTCCTCGTTTTAAACTAGTTTATGCATTACAAGATGAGTGTTAAAACCTCTTAAGTTCTATTTCAGAGGGTTCAAGAGCTCCTCCTTTAATACTATAAGCTTCTTTGCAATTATAACTCTTTAACTTGAAGATTATGTCTATTCGCAGGGCCTTTGACTCCTTAAATAACAAATCCTAATTTGACTGCAAGGCCATTTTTGTCTACTTGGACATTTAGCTGTAGACATGATGTTGAAGTTTTGCGTGATGGTATACCATGCAAAGTTTATGAGTTGCAAAGTTGAAAGGCAGTGGCAACTCAAGATAGAAACTCACTTTCAATAACTAATCCATAGTAAACCATGAAAAGCAAGTTATTCCAGGGTGACGATGTAACTTGTTCCAGCAACACCTGAAACAATTTAAAATCGCAAGTTCACATTCTTGTATACTTATCAGCATTGTTTGTTCAGTTCTTTACCAGGTCATGAGTGTACAGTTAAGCAGTTTTATTAATATACATTCACGTTGAAGACAGAAAAGGAGGTAGATCAGATCCATAAAGTACAAGATAAATGCGTAAATTCTGGTTACAAGATAGAATATCCTTTTTCCTGATGCTTATCCTAATCATCCAAAGAAGAAAGAGTTTAGCATACCTTTTTGGCAACTGTACTCTTGTCTCGTTTCCCCTTGAAAATTTTGTCCAGTAATAAGTGAAGAAAATGGCCAAATGGTCCAAGATAGACAACGCCAAAAAGCTGCATGTAGTTACAGCCAAAGCAGATGATGGCATTCCAAATAGCAGCTTACATGCACAAGCAGAAGAATATAATACAAATGATACTAAATGAAAAATGATTTTGATGTGCCATGTCAGAAACAACCCTGAAATTGAAGAGAATTAGACACAGAATTGCAACTAAACTTAACCTACACCAATTACTACACTGTAAGTCTCAAACTAGTTGAGGTCGGCTGTATGAATCATCTATATCCATTATTTTTCCACTCTTGCATTGCAACTAAAGTTAGCCAGGAGAGAAAGTTTTCTGTATATGCGTACTGGCAACTACTTGCCCTGTTTTCAGTTTCTCAGACCTCAATCACAATTCTTTGAAGCAACTCAAGATATTGAAGTGATCTCAAGCATATTCCATACTAGTCGTTGATTATTTGAAACATTTCTTTCTCTTCTGATTTCCAACTTACCTAGGATAGTGGTGTATCAAGTAATCATATTCCACATATAGTTCTACTTGTAAGGTTCCCCTCCTGTTTTAGGATTTGACAATCTCGAAGCGGAAATTATAAGATTAGCCATAAATAACCCCTCTTCTCCTCAACAAAGGCTACAGTTCTAAGACTCAAGTGCAGAAGCCTTTGTGCAATAGGGCCAGTACAAGAAAAGAGACTTCACGCAAAAAAAGAAATATCTGTAACATCCTTTGTGGCTCATAACCAAAACACTTTTCCCTGTAAATCGTAAAATTTTCGTCCAGAAGTACTAGAATCTGAAATCAAGTCACCAGATGGGCATATCAGAAGTATTATCCAAACAAGAACGGATCACTGGGATCCAAACATAAAGATTCAAGAAACAATGATATCATCTGTGCCAATGTAAACCAGAGTGCATTTAAGATCAATTCTGCTGAAATATGCACTCTCTTCAGCCAATAATTCTGCCATTTTTAGAAAATTTTGAGAAAAGTTGATCACGTTACCCTGGGTGACAGTTGACATGTAAATTTACCACTTCCAATCTAAGCCAAACAGCATGCTAACAACGAATTGGTTCACTTAGCGTTAACTTCCTGTACCTGATGCACTTGGATGCTAAAATTGATGTACAGTTGGCATAACATAAAGAGACTAGGGCTTAAGGTTATGGCTGAGTGATTGAGGCATTGAAGTTTTATATTCCAAGCTATAACACTCGGTGTGTCTGCTCTAACCTTGACGGGCAGGTTTACTCAATACAAGTAGTTATGGGTTATATCAGGCTGCCCAGAACATCAGTCCATGTGCATAAACTGGCTGATCACCACCATCATCAAAAAAGAAATGAAAGAGACTAGTGTCTAAGGTAGTGTTACAGAACCAAGCTGATCTTTTATCAAAAGAAACAGAAACCAATACACAAAAGCAACCATGGAAGTGCATAAATGCTAAAGCTTCATCAGATTAACAAAGTCAAAGTACTCGAGCTCAGATAGATAAAATGCAACCATGGGAGTGCATAACAATTTGCAAAAATGACCTCCATATATTATTTTGTACTAGTAAAAGTATAAACCTATGCAAAGGGAAGCAAGAGGAATCGTACCACTTTGAGGAGAAGACGTCTGACTTGAAGTTTCTGAATGCCAGTGATCTTCTGAGTCACTATATCACTAATCGCTGACAACACTCCCGCAGTTATTGACTGCCATCATAAGTATTTCCAATGATTCAATCAATCAAGACTACAGGGAAAAAAAGGTGTGATCTTTGTACCAAGATAGAAACTTTACAAGAAATTAAAGAAGACCCACATCATCAATTAAGCTAACACCTCAAAATAGCCCAAACCCACTTCAAAAATCAAAGAGAAAAACTGAAGAAGAAAGGTTTGACCTTTGTTCGTAAAGGGTGTTGCTGAAGCTGTAATAAGTACTGTTGCAGACCCTTTTTCGCTATTGACCCCATTCTTGTTGTTGGTTTTGTTCACTTGTTGAACAGCAAAAACTGAGAAGAGTAACAGATTCGATCTTCCTCTTCACTCACTGCCTTCTTCTGGCTTTCATTACATTTACAACAGTTTGGCGAATCTGTACCTAAAATATAAGCGTCACATCGTGTGGGGTCCATTTAAAGCAGCCGAATCAGTTTAAACGGAGAATCCCATAATAATCTGTGACAAGTTTCTGCAATTTGGGAATTTGGTTAATTATGAGTTACTATGACTCTATAAATGGGATCTTTGGAAGGTAAAATAGATTGGAATAGTTACCTCCTATATCGATACCTTATTTATTTTAAATAAATAATATTCTATAACTATCTTTTAATTTTTATAGCCAAATAGCTATTTATGATCATCTCCTACCCTTAAGCCATAAAATATGTTGCCCTCTAATGAAGGCAACGAAATCTCCATGGCCAACTCCAGTATGTTTCTTCTTCTTCTTCCTTTCCGATTTTGATTGTTTTCTTCTGCCAATATGTTTCTTCTTCTTTTCCTTTCCATGGCAAGGAATTTTTTGGGACGTTAACTTCTTGGCAATTTCTTCTTCAGTGGGTGCTAGCAATTTCTTTCGATTCGTTACCAGCGGGTGCTAGCCAAATTCAGTTCTGGGACTTTAACTTCTTCAGATGCGTTACGGATGCTAGCAATTTCTTCTTCAGCGATCTTTCTCGTTTTCTTCTTCTTTCTCTCATCGCTGCTTATGGAATCATGGTCGGAATCCGATGGGTCGTCGGAAAATCGTCGACTAAAATAGGTCGTCTGAAGTTTGGGGTTGAGCAATTTGAAGATTATGTTAACTTTTTTTTAAGAGCATTTCAATATATCTCGCTGTATTTCTATGTATTTCATTGTATTCACTATCTTTTTTTTCATTGTAATTCAATGTATCTCGTTGTATTTCATATATTTCATTGTATTCAGTGTCTTTTTTTCTCATTGTATTTCAATGTATCCCGCTGTATTCTATGTATTTCATTGTATTCACTGTCTCGCTATATGCCATAAATGTATTCATATGTTTTTTTTAATTAATATAATTTATGTATTCAGATGTATTATATAATTTTTCTGAAGATTGCTATATTTTTGGGATATTTTTCGGGTTGAGAATCTTTTTCATAACTGAAAATACAAAATTTGTGTGTTATAATTGAGTTTGTTGAGTTATATTAGGAGTCTATTATGTTAATTGATTCACTTTCCGTTTTAAAAACAGTTTAATCCCCTATTTCACGCCCGTGCAACATACAGTCGAATCCAGTCGAGTACAATAAATCTGTCCAGCTGTAATCCCATGTTTCACTCCATGAAATACAGTCGGAATTACATTCGAATATCAAAAACTAATTAGCTGGACTTCCCTGATTCACCGCCTATTTTTGCTACTGTATCTCTGAATACAAATAACTTAATACATCAAATACAATCTTATAACCACAGAAAAGGGTACTCTATAACTCCGTCTAAATAGCAAAATGGTCACTACTAATAAGATAATGCTTATGAAAAATTTCTCAAGTATATTCTCCCTCTTTTTCCCACTTTGTCAACACCCATTAATTTTCAAACGCATCACACGGTTGTTTAGCCCAAAATACAGCTCAGGCCCAATTTGGTCACAGGCCCAATTAACTAAGGGAAAGCAGAAGGCCCTTTTATAGTTTATATTTTCCTGGTAATTTTCATTTTTAGATTTTTATTTTATTTTTGTCTCTTACACTTGTAAATATAAATACGAGACTTCTCAATAATAATATCAGTTATTGGTCAATTAAGCTTTGACCGACTCATTTCGTTCATTCTTCTTCCTCTTAACCCTTCTAGGGTTTTCTTCTGTTATTTTTCGCCATAGCCATCGGGCTTCGAACTCAACATGGTATCAGAAGCAGGAATGTTAGATTCCTCGTTGTCGCAACCTTTCTTCCGATTGTAGCCTTTTTGAAATCGTCAAGGACTGTATCAGATCGTCGATCTTTAGAATACGTTCGTGAAATTGGCGGTTCGTTCAATCTTCGCATATTCTCGAATTTTATCGCGATAATCATTGATAATTCTTCAAGTTAGACGGGAGTTTCTGTGGAATTTCTCTACCTAGGGTTCATGGCTAAAAACAAGACCCTCACTTCTTCGGGTTTTTTTCAGAAGAAGGACAGTATCATTTGGTCAACTCCTAATCACAAGTGTTTGTTAATTTTGCTGTTTTAATGCTCATTGCATGTACCTGATTTGAGTTTATCTCTGATTACTCAACATACTACTGTAGTTTCTTAGATGTTAGATTTAGTTAACTGCCTGAAAATGCGTGCGTACGATGTTAGTAAACGATGTTAACTTCTCCTTCACCTTCCAATGGTTTTGCTCCCGCCCTTCTTTTTCTCTTTTGGTCCTCTTCTCTACTTCCGTTCTAATCACCCCTCGCCATGTGAATCCTGGAAGTCAACTCTGGTATCCGCTTCATTCAGTGGTTTGCGGATTTGGTGTTGGCGTTCTCGTTACGTAGCCAATATTGCTCACTTCCCTTTCTGCACAAGAACGAACACGTCAGCATATTTAGATGGCAGAGTCAATCTCAACCCACTCCTTGATCTCCTTACTTACCCATATTGGAAAGGATGCACATGATATGTCAAAGCCTGATACAACTAACTCAATATCAGAGAAATAGCTGTTGAGTGTAATTTGTGTCTTTAAAACCTAGCTCAAGGGACAGTTCTGGAAAGATATAAATGAAAGTCTTGGCCAGTTCCAATACGGGTCTAAAATACATCCAAATACAAAGGGAAACCAAGTTTTCTAATACTTCAACGGCTCCTATGAGTATAGCTTCTTACTTCACCAAATAGAGGAGTTTGTGGGATGAGACTGAACTCTTCATATGTTAGGTCCTATCCTGTTCATGTGGTCGCATTGCCCAAATCATAGAGGGCCAACAGTTGTTTTCAGTGCTCTCAATGTCTCAAATGAGTCCTAAACAATCTTCAAAAGTTGCCATTATGTTAATGTTAATCCTCTTCCACGTCTAATCAGCAAAGGCCATATAGTCTTCTACAACAAGATGAGAGTCAAAGAGAAGCTCACTCTCCGTATGCCCTAACTCTGCTCGGTGATGCCACCTCACCTTTCTTCTGGTGTCTCCTAGTGCCTTCACCACAACAAGGACATTACAGTCAAAGCGAGGTGAATTCGGTTGAGGCCAGGGAAAGCTTGCTCAAATGTCTCTTGCCAGAGTTTACTGCAAGAAGCCTGCGCCACACTGTAGACCAAGTGCATAGACTCCAATGGTTCCCTGCCTACTGAATTTCAAGTTCACCAGGAGTTAAGAAATATGCTGTCGTGGTCCAGACTGAAAGCTCCAATCCACCACTACACTGTCACTCACCCAACTTCTCAGCATGCTGATTTTTCAGCCCATGGGCTTACCAAGAGCAGTGCCAACAACTTGTTAACCTTGTATCCAACAAGTTCATTATGTAAAAACACTTCCACCCCTGATGCCTCCAATGTGATTCAATCTGCTTTTGCACACTTTGCAGGTTGTTTAGCAAGATGCGTTAGATCACTGATTTCTCATGTGTGTGCATCCTCTCAATTAGGTGTCAATCCTTGGATCTTAGATACAGGGGCTACAAATCACATGACTCCACATAAACATCTTCTTTTTAATGTTCAACCATTAATCAAGCCTTTTCTTGTCACCCTACCTAATGGATATAAAGCTAAAGTTGTATCAACTGGATGTATGTATCTTAGACATGATATAATTTTACTTCATGTTCTTCTTGTGCCATCTTTTCACTTCAATTTGATATCAGTTCATCAGCTGATATGTCAGCTAGATTATTCAGCACTTTTTACCAAAATAATTTGTTCTTTACAGGGCCCTTCTCTGAAGAGGCCACTGAAAATTGGTAAAGCTGCAGGCAGGCTGTACTATCTCCATCCAGATGGTGATCTCTTTCCTGTTCCATCTGATTCTCTGAATGTTTCTTCTAGTAGTTTACCTAATTCTGTTTCTACTTCTAGTGATTTACCTTCTTCTATTTCAATTGTATCTGATAAATCCAGTCATGTTGTTACACTTAATGGTACTCCTGATTGTAATCAATTTCATTGCCTTAATAAATTGGACTTGTTTTGGCATCAAAGATTAGGGCACATGCCTTATCATAGAATGAAAACTATTCCTTTCTTATCTGATAAAGTGTCTTCCAAACAAAGTTTCATGTGTCCTGTTTGTCCTCTAGCAGGACAATAGAGATTACCTTTTCCTGAGAGTGTTATACACTCTTCTGCTCCTTTTCAACTAGTACACATTGATATTTGGGGTCCATATAACACTAGAACTTATAGTGGATTCAGATACTTTCTAACTTTGGTTGATGATTATACTAGAGCCACATGGAATCACCTCCTTTTTTGCAAGAGCAATGCTCTTTCTGTTCTTAAAGCTTTTACTATCATAGTTAAAGTTCATTTAAAATTATCTGTCCAAACTTTTAGGTCTGAGAATGCTTTTGAACTTGGTGGTAATTCTGAAGCAACCAAGTTCTTCTCAAGCCAAGGAATTCTCCATCAGACCACTATTCCTCACACCTCTCAACAGAATGGGGTAATTGAAAGGAAACACAAACACTTATTGGAAATCTCCAGGGCTCTCCTTTTTCAGTCTAACCTTCCCCTTAAATATTGGGGTAACTGTGTTCTCACTGCCACTTACCTCATCAATAGACTTCCTTCTGTTGTTTTGAAGAGTGTGTCTCCTTATGAAAAACTTCATGGTCTCCCTCCACTTTATGATCACTTAAAGTCTTTTGGATGTTTATGCTTTGCTACTTCACCTAAGTTTGGTAGAGATAAATTCCAGGCTAGAGCTATTCCTTCTATATTTTTGGGGTACCCCTTTGGTAAAAAGGGTTACAAACTTCTTAATCTCACTATTCATTCCATTTTCTTTTCTAGGGATGTGGTTTTTCATGAAAATATATTTCCCTATAAGTCTGATCATCCTTCTGTCTTTCCCTCTTCCTCTATTTCAGACTTTGTAGATTCTACATTCTCCTCCTCTTCATCTTCTTCTACTCCTGCTGTTTCCACAT